TAAAAGAAAACAAAATAATTCAATCATTAAAAGTTTAATAAAAATATTTTACGACATCTTTTTTTTGTGAAAGTAAACTCACGATTTTTATTCTTCGGTGTACTTGATTGCGTTATTTTGGTTAGCTAGCGAACGCACAACACTGCGTATGCGCAATACCAATCAATTGTTTTGCCTGATTTAACTTGTACCATTCAATTTTAATTTGTGAATCTGATTTCAATTTAATTTTGCCCAGAAAGACATCATAAAATTCCGTAGCGAAATGATATTGTGATTTAAAGTGAATTTTAATAGTGAGAAATTTAAAAATAAAATTTTAATAAAATTTAAACACAACTGGCGTACGTCGACAAGGCAAATAACTTCCCACGGTTTCGTAAAATGCATTTCGAGACATAACAAAAATCCACCGATTAACCGAGAACGTGCTGATCAGAATCGTTAAGAAAATGGGCGACACATTGGACGAGACGATGCCCACGCGACGCGACAAGCCGCAAACATTAAACGTTGGCCAGGAGGAGGAAGGGGGTACCGCTACCGTTACCGCTCCCGTTCCCCATCCCGCTACCGCCCCCACCGCCATTCCCGCTCCCCGCCTACCGCGCAACCGGTTGCGTCACGCAGATCGCGATCAGAAACGCGATCACTCGAGCGACGGTGTCCTTGTGTCCGGTGGCGAACGGCGGGACGAATTCGTGGGGCTCGAGGCCCAGCCGCGTCGCGAGAGTCTGAATAGTTGCGAGGTCGGCAGTCCGGTGGCCATGTCCTCCAGTCCCGGCAAGGCGAACCGGCTCAACAGCTCCAGGTACCCGTCCGGCGGCTCCAGCGGCATCGGCGTCAGTGTCCTGGGCGGCCTTGTGGGCACCACCACCCGCAAATGCGTCCTCACGCTGGACGGGTACTCCTACGTCATAGGTAAGTTAACCTTCTCCACCAAGCACAATGGAAGGTAGGACAAAAGAAGTGTTGTTGGAAGGAAGGGCAAAAGAAAACTGTTTCTGAATGGGTTTAAAGAAAATGTTTAAATTTAGGAAAATAGTTTACACTTAATTGACAACTTAAGGAATTGTGGAGACTGCTAAAAATGATAAAAAACCTAATTCAATACTTAAGTGTTCAGAACTAAAAGAAAATCATTTCAGGAAACCATTTTTAAATGGCTTGTTTAAAAAAGTAATTTTCATTAAGACTAGTTTAATACAAATTAAAGGAAAAATTACACATAGTAAATAAATTTTAAAAAAATATATATTTAAAATTTAGATTTTAAGTATAGAACATTTCAAACAAGTTAATTTTAAAAATGTATCATTTATTTTTTGCTAACACGTGAAAACACTTTATACTACTTGGAATGAAAATTGTAATCGATTCCTTAAAAAATATTTAAACATATTCCTTAAAATATCCCAATGGCTAATACATTGCAAGCTACAAGGCATATTATTTAATAAATAATCAATGTTTTTTTTAACAAATTACTACATAAAATGTTTACATCTCTTGCATAATGGAATGGGGGCAAATAAAGCATGTTTAAGACCAGAACAAATGGGATGCTTGGCTTTATTTATGAAGCACAACCAATGTGCAGAAAGAGTCACCTTGAATGCAACTGGCCTTTGTTCCCGGCTTTTTCTTCTTCCTGAACTCCGTGAACAAAAAGGAGAATTAATTTCGAGCTACTCATTTTTCTTCTTGAAACTCATAAAATAATACGGGTCGTCTGATACTTATTTTTCTATCATTTCATTGCAGGTAAGTCAATTCAAATGGCAACAAAAAAAGCTCCACAAAAAGCAGTAGATTGAGGGTAATTCTCTGCAGAGCAGGTACGTTCGTGGCCCGTTGCAGCATTAAATTGAAAATGAAATTGAATTTCCAACGAGTTGGGCTATTATAAAAGTTATCTCCCCCTATCCCTATGCCACCCGAGTGGCAACAATTCATTTAGGATTCTCGTCGTACCGAGCCGAGTTGAGGTAAAAATTTATGAGAAACTTTTTATACGTTCTGCATATGCCACGCAGAATATCCTGGCCACCACCAACGCTTAGATCACCAGGCAGTTGCGTACATACGGAGGGTAAATTTAAAAGTCTATTGCCAGGTAAACAAGGTTCTTCGGGCCTCGTCCATTTTGAGTGGCAGCAGTTCTGGCCAGCTTTGATAGCCGCCTTCTGCTGGCCATATGTACGATGGCCTTCCGTTTCCTTCGCAGCTCCCTTTTGGCTCAGTTTACATGGCTCTCGCCGGTCTGTTGTGTTTTGGCTAATAAACTGGCCGGGACCACAATGTAAGCTTAAAGTGGGTGTGCAGGGCCACTTCAGATTAAAATTCATGAATTGTGCTCGGGGAGGAAACGAAATTGCCAGGTACCGATGGAATGCATCAGATATTCGACAAAATATGCATGCAATTTCGCTGCCAGAAAAGCTTAGGAAAATGGAAAAGTCATCTCTTTGGATTTGGAAAGCATTAGATTATTGTCAATTTTAATTTAAACTTTGTTATTACTTTAGTTTATTAAGCTAGCAAGAGGATTCATGGACTATTTTGTGAGGACCAATTCGAAAATGTAAGTTAATTATATTCAGTTCTTATTGAATAGTGGACTTTATTTTATAATTAATACTTCTAATTTGATAAGCTTTAAGGAACTGTTTGTTTCCTTTTATGTCTTTCTGGTTTTAAACTTAGTTAATTCAAAAAATATTAATATAAGTATCATGATTTCTTAAATATCCTTAACCCACATAAGTCGGAGTGCTAAAAAAGTAAATTTTGTTTTTTTTTTTTAAGACTAGTCATAAATAATACCAAAAACTTAAACAAATTGAATTTATAATGAGAACTGGCTACCCAAAAACTTTAATCCTTTAATTTCTTGAAAATCCTCAATATTTTAAACCTTATCCGCCATCGCATTTATTTTCCTTTCCCATCGTAATAGTCAGCACAGACAAAAATTAAACATTGGGCCCGAATACTATTGGCAATTCTTTTGGCCCAAGGTCAGGTCCGCAGTCGACAGCACACAGCCCCCTTGAGTCCTCGAATGTCCTGGAATGTCCTGGGGTGGCTCGTTTGCCCGGTCACGTAGCGGCCACAAATCGTGCGGCGATTTTGAGACAAAGCCAGGCCAATTCTGGCTTGAACCCCAGTCCCAAAAGCCACGCCACCCCATTTGGTCGGCCTTCTTTTGTGCCTTTTTAGCCAAGTCGCTTGGCGGTCCGCTTGGCTTGTCCTTTTGGGTTTCAATTTATGGGCGCTGCAATATTTTGCAAATATCCGTAGCATATCCTGCGGCGACAGCGCAGACAGCATTGCAATAAATAGTCAAGGGTTTGCCGCGAGTATGTGTTTGTGTGTGTGTGTGTGTGTGAGTGCGAGTGTTTGGCTGGAAGTGTCCTTCAATTGACATATTACACTTGTTGTTGTCGGCCTGGTCGCGGCTGTTTTGTCTTTCGCCCCTTTGCTGGTTATGGCCCTCGATTTGTTTGTCTCGTCTCTGGAAGGGGGCGTGTCTGACATGGGGCAGATGGAGACGGAGACGGCGATGGAGATGGATGGTTCTGGGGACGAGGTGCTCGTCTGCTCGAAGGCACCGCTTGGCTGATCAAGCGTTCGGCCGACAAGTTGGACGCATCGACAACATCGACCCACAGGCAGCAGTCTAATTGATGTGCCGGCAAACAGCAGATGGTCCTTCTCCTTATATTTAAAGTGTTTCTCTCCCAGAAACCCTTTCCTCGTGAAGAAAAGGGTTAAGTGGCTCATTTAGCTTGTGGTTCAACGGGTTATCCTTTTGGCCATTGTCTAATTTTAGAAAATGGATTTTTAGTAATTAAATTTAACAAGAACAAAGAAAGCAGTAAATGGAGCTATTAATAAAGATCGATTAAGAAACGTTCAGATTCGATAGAACCCGAAAAAATATAGTTGAATGATTTATATTTTATAACAAACTTTTAGGGGCCATTTAAATAAATTGAAGTTTTATTTTTTTGTATAAATTAAAACCTACCCTTTAAAGTCGTACCTAAAATGTTAACTTAATTGTTAATTTTTTGTACAAGTTAGGCATTCAATAATGATGGACTAAGGGCTAACTGATCCCCAGGGGCTCAAGAGACAGAAAAGAAAACTTTTCTCAAAGAAAAGCCAGTCAGTTATAATTTAACCCAAATTAACGCGTAACTCAAGGAAATTTCCACAACTTCAGGGTTGGATCCCTGGAAGAAAACTTCCAATCGTGAATTACCCGAATCAGTGGCATATTCTCAGGCGTGGCAATGGGGACCGCATAGCTAAAATGCTTCGTACTTCAGCCTTTCTGGCCAAAAGCGACAAGGAAATTTAATAAAATTAGCATAAATACCGCTCGAAGACAAAACGCTCAAAAATTCTCCGAATGCTAAGGAATGCGACAAAGGCACAGCTCGACCAACAAACACACACACGCGAACATAAAGTTTTATTGTCATTGAGTTTTGCCTCTCTGTCTTGGCCAAAGCATACTTTAAAGGATAATATATGCATCTGCTCTGTGTCCTTTCTGTACCCCCTGTGTTTTCTTTTATGGCAATGGCCTCTCAATTGCCAATCAATTTGCCTTAGTCTCTGCGGGCCAACTTTTTCCTTCGAGTGTCAGCAACAGCCATAATAATAAAAGCAAAAAGGCTTAAAATCAATTTTCGTTAAACCCTTCGAAAAACGCACAGACAAAGGCAGAGCAGACATAAAAATGATTACCAATGGCCCGAACGTTGGAAATTTTTTAATTAAAACAGTTAAAAGCGGTGCCAGCGACTGTCTGCGAAGAGTACTATATATGAAGTCGGCAAAAAAAAAAAACATTAAATATGGCAGAGTCCAAAATGGCTGCTGCCAACTGCAGAAACACGAGCGCCGAAAGGTCGGCTAAAGTCTGGCGAAAAGGATGCCAGTTTCGGCATCAAGGTGCACCGCCTCCTGTCAGAGCTTTTCCACCATGTTTGCTACAATTTGGCTAACTGGCACAAAGGCTTCAACACTCACATACTCGCTGGCCAGTGTGTGAGTGTGGGTATGTTTGTCATCCTTGTTTGCCTGCTGCTCAAATGTCAGAGAACAAAAGCCAGACAGCGCGACGTCGTTGTTCTGGCAATTCGACAAGGTGTTCTTGCCATAATTTGCAACCGAATTTCGCCCAGATTTTTGGGGCACTTTTCAGTTAGACGCACTGAAGTTTCACTAAGTAAACTTAAATGTAATTTAAACTTTTTAAGTACTCCTCAGCAGGCTGCAAATTTCAGTCGCTTGACAACTTTTTAGAGGTTTCAACTTGGTTTTTTGATTGAAGTTTCAAAGAGTCTTGTAATTTTATTTGTATTTTTAACTTTGGGCTTATCTATAAGTATTCTTTGAACATTGCATTTTAAGTTCATCTAAAAGAATATTGAACATTTAATTGCCTTGAGAACTTAACGATAGTCCAAACAGTTATTTTGACCATACAAGTCATGGATCTCAGAACACATTGCCTGGCTAATCTGAACGCTCCAGTCAATCCTTCACTCGTAGAGGTCCTTGTTGTCCTTGTCAGCTTTCCGCCCTGGTAAATGGGCAGGCATTTTGGTTTAATTTCATTGGCATATCCGGTTCCTGGTGCTGCTGTTTCTGTTTCCAAGGCTTCTGTCAATGGACCAACTAGTCAGCTTCGAAGGATGCCTTCTGTTCGGAGGCATCAGTGCGTGAAATTCGCAGAGACGCCTGCCAACTGCGGCAGTCCTTGCAAATCGCGAAACTGTTTGAAAGCGGCAACAAATTGAATAAGAACGATTGTTGACACTTTCCCCATTCAGTGCTGAACTCACTCACTTCAAATTCTCTCAGGCAATGATAATTTATCAAGTTTCCCAGTATTCAAGTGCAGCTGAAAACAAAAAATAAAATAGTTTTTCTCCGACACGAGACTGGATTTGTAAAGTGATATAGAGGGATGCAGTTTCTGTCGCAGGATAACACTTACATTTATTTGCCTTTTTGCCATCGGATAGTTCCAAAAGCTTAGCAGAAAGATAAGTGTTTTTACAGATATTGAAACGAGGAAAATCTCGGCTATTTAATTCCATTGAGGGATGACCAATTTAAGACGAAGAAATACGAGCCATTGTGGATATTTATTTAGCCGAAGAAGTAGGGTTGCTTTTCAGTTTCCTATAAGTTCAGTTAACAAATTAGTTACAGTAAGCTGTAAATTAATTACTAAGAAACGAAATGTGTTAAAGTAGCACGAACCGAAATAAAATCAATATATGCTGAAAAATTAATTGACATTATCAACGTTTTTCCCTTAAAACGATTAATAAATATTACAAATATATGCTTTATCGAAATCACTGCAACCATTTGGAAATCAATTCCCCATCATGGTCCTTGCCAAAACGGAAAGCCCATCTATCACCATCGCCCCCTTACATTTCTTGCCGCATGACAGATCCGCCGGTAGAGGAAATTAAATTTGCAAATCCCATTGGCCACATTCAGGAGTCGTTAGTCCCGCCAACTGTTAATGACATTTAAGTTCGTTCGTTTTATTAATTAATTAATCAATCCATCAATCAATCAGCACAATAACACACATTTGACGAGCGCCCGGGGAACGCTAAAAATCAATCAAAACCGATGTTGGTTGAAATTCACTTTGGTCCATTTGTGACGCCACAAGTTGTAGACCAACAGTGCGACCAGAATCACATTGGCCGACTTGATGAGCTGCTTTACCAAGGCTCGACGCTGTTCGCTAAAACCAGGAACAATATCACTGTCACTCCGCTCGGAAAATGTTCTAAAAAACCCATCTACGGGCGGAACTCACCTCATTACCGTCGAGCTCCGCTCTCTCAACACATATCCGCCTCTGGGTGGCAGATTAAGTCCAGTAGTGGCCTCGACCGGAATGCTGTCGCTGAATTATTCAAATAGTCTATATTTAATACTTCACTCGATTCCGGAGCAAGGCAGGCAAAAAAAAGAGTACGAAATGAAACGCAGCGGGGCATAAAGACAGCAATATATATGTATATTCTTAATCCGATGAGAGCCTCTGTTCAACGTGGCGTATTGGCAATGAAATGTTTAAACTTGTGTGTTAAGCCTCAAGCAATTTTTAATTTACTTGAACTGCAAATAAACTTATCGTTAAAAGCTTTTTGGTTTTAAATGTAAAACTGCATTCAACTCTTAATCTGGTACGAATTTATACTCTTTATGAATTTTTAATTTAAAAACCAAAAAAGGATTTGCTTTTGAATTTTAGCTTTTCATATATATATAAAAACCACTTTAAACATATCGGTTTGTTTATTTTTTGTTTTTGTCATTTTGTATTAATAATCTGTAAAACGCAAAGATTAATTTAAGTTTGACTAAAACAATCTGGCTTAAACAACAAAATTTAATAGAACTTCACAAAATGTGCATAACATTTTCTACAATTACTAACTATTTTCTTCTTATCCAAACAACTGCACATTTTTGGCAAAATGTTTGTGTAAGCTTGAAGCAATCAAAAGTTTCCAACAAGTTTGCGATAGTTGCCATTGTCAAACATTTAATTCAGTTATTAAAGGACATTTAAAAACTTTACTATGTGATATTTTATGATCCCGGCTTGGCGACGTTTTTCGAAATGGTGGGAGGAATCTGCGCCACTTCCATAAATCTTTTTTGGGACCGTGGGTGTGTTTTCCTTCCATACATGAAAAATTACGTTGGCCAAGCGAGAGTGAAATACAAACATCAGCAGCGGCCAAAATGCTGGGCAAGTTGCCAGGAACTGGCGACGATGTGGCCACTTTTTTCCGGTCAGGACCCGGATCCGGTGCCTTACCCACACTGCCCCTTTTCCCCTCCTTGCCTTCATTAGCACTTGACAGCGTTAAATTCAATCTATCCTGCTCGAACTAAAAACACACACACACTAGCCACTCGACGGTCATTAATTTTCCCCCATTTTGTATTCAATCGCGTGACATTTTGAGCTGGAAATGCAATTAAAGAGCAAAGTTGGCCGCCATCGACTGGTAATTCCTCTAATCCCGTTCCGGCTAGACGAGCCGACAGACGATACCCTCACGGGCACCCAGGGACAATGCACTTGCGGCGAGGGGTTGACTGCAGCGGGAATACACAGAGAAAATGAGTGTCAAGTTAGAGTGTCAAATGTGGCTTGAACGATGTCGAAAATATATTTTCCAGTAGATCAATATTTCATTACTTTTAAATATTTAAATATTTTTGAAATTACCAGAGCTGTACTACTACAACTTCTAATATAAATGTTTTACTTTGCTTTAGAATAGATAAATTTAGGGTCAGATTTGATTTGAAAGTCAAAGCTAAATGAATTTAACATAAGGGGTACAATTTTTAAAATTTAAACTCAATTCATCTTTAAATTTATGTTGCAATCTTCATTTTCTTCCATTTAAATATGAAAAAAAAAGCATTTATATATAGAAAGTTTTCTTGGATCAGATTGATTTTAGTTTTTTTTAGTTTCTCGTGTTTTTTTCGGTGTAAAGCGGGAAATGAATGACCGGAAATCGAAGGGGCGAACTTACCCAGGTTGATAATTGGAATTCACTCCGCAAACTTCAACAACCAATTTATTTGGTCGGTTGAGAAACTCCGTGAGATTCACCAACTGTTCCTTGTCGCTCACATTAATGATGGTAATTATCGTCTCAAAATTGGGGTAGGACCTGCAAAATAACCTGCAGACTAATCAAATTGTCTTTAGGGTTTAATTTGGTCACCCACCGCTTAAAGGCAAAGACCCAACGGGAAATTGGTTCGATGTTGAAACGGCCTAAACGCATAATGGCCGATTTTCGCAGTTCAATAAGGTCCTTGTAAACCTGATAATGACTCTTATTGGCTGCCTTCTGGGCCTCCAAGTTGAGTTCCGGATAATTGGGATGGACGGGCAGCCAGGTTTTGGGGGCACCGGAAAAGCCTGAACGAATGGAGGAGAATTGTGAGTTATCCATCGAAAAATTAGACAAAATAATATTAACTGAATCATGTGCTTTGTCACTATATTGTCTATATACAAATATATATTAACAAATATATATTAAAACGACACTTTACATCAAGTTTTATGGGTAGATATTTAAAAACAACGAAGTTATGTCGATTTTCCATTAAATTTGTTCAATCTGTTTTATAATATTAAAAACGTATTTTGAATCCAAAAAACTATTACAAGTTGTTATATATTCTTACAAATCCAATCAAATATAAATGTGTTAGTATAAAACAAATTTCATCTAGAAAGCTTTAAAACTGAGCGAGTCTACCATTCTTTAATCTTCTTTTTTTAAGTTTAGGAAACAAACATAAAGTTAATAATCAGTTTAATAAGTTATTCACAATAATAACTAAATAAAGGTATTTATTCTTTAGTATAAGCTTACCTACCTGCATTTTTTTCATTACTCCACTGGAAAGGTGTGCGCACTGGATCCCGGGAGACCTCCTTGTAGTGCTCCTCCCCCACATTTCTGGCCGGCGGATCCACCGTGTCCTGCCAGCTTATATCGCGGTAGTCCTCCATGCCCAGCTCCTCGCCCTGGAACAGCAAGAAAGATAGCCAAAATCAAAACCGAAAACCAAGGGCAACCACCCATTCAGAACCAAAGGGGAACTCACATTGTAGGTGACGGCGACGCCGGGCAGGGTCATCAGCAGCATGTTCATGGCGTCCACGCTGGCGGAACCGAATCGGGAGGCGACCCGCGGGTTGTCGTGGTTGCCCATGACCCAGTTGGCCGCGTGCCCGCGCGGCATGTAGATCAGCCACTTTTCCACGTTGTAGACAAAGTCACGCGCATCCGAGTCGCCTTTGACGTCCGTGATAAAGTGGAAGTTGAAGGGCAGATGGGAGCCCCGCACCCCGTTGGCGTCCTCGTAGTAGTCCGCCAGTTGGGTGAGTCCGGCATACGCCTCCGTCATCATGATGCGTGTGGGTTTCTCGGGGTGCTTGGCACTAAAGTCCTCCAGAAGTTTCCTCCAATGCTGAACCATTTCCAAGACCTCGGGCAGATCCCGCGAGTAGATGTGTTTGGTGTACTCATAGGACAGAGGGTCCGTGGTCTTGCCGCTTAGTGGCTCATCCTTAAGAGATTCATCCTCAAAGAGATGATTCACTGCATCAATGCGAAAGCCAGCCACGCCCTTGTTCAGCCAGAAGAGTATCACATCGTCCATGGCCTGAACCACTTTGGGATTTCGGAAATTCAAGTCGGGCTGCTCCTTGGTGAACTGATGCAGGTAGTACTGCTGGCGTCCTTCGTGCCACTCCCAAGCAGAACCATAGAAAACCGATGGCCAGTTGTTGGGAGGAACTCGAGTTCCGTTCTCTTGCACGATGCCATCTTCCCACACATAGAAATCCTCGTAGCCAGGCTCCCTGGCAGCAGACTTCTTGAACCATTCATGCTGATCCGAGCTGTGATTGGGCACAAAGTCCAGGATGACCTTGATGCCCAGTTCGTATGCGGTGTCGATCAGCTCCTCAAAGTCCTGCATGGTGCCATATTCCGGCTGGATCTGCTTGTAGTCCGATATGTCGTAGCCAAAGTCGACCATGGGCGACTGGAAAATGGGACTCAACCAAGTGGCCCTAATGCCAGTGTCCGCCAAATAGGGCAGCTTTGAGGTGATGCCCCGCAGGTCGCCGATGCCATCGCCATTGCTGTCCTTGAAGGACCTTGGGTAGATCTGATAGAAGACCGTGTGCTGCCACCAGTCTATAAAATCCTCCGATTCGCTCTTCACCAGACCGGCCATTGTGGAGCCGGGATTTAGCAGACTAAAAAGAAGGATTTGGATGAGTGGAGCGAGCATTTCGGTCAAGTTTTCGATTCGTTGTGTTCGCGATTTGCCAGTTTGGCAGCCACTTTTAAAGCGAATCTGCCGTATAATTAAAATAATTTTTCATTAGTAGTTGTCTAATTATCAGCCTATTATTCAGTGGAAGATTTTTATCAGCTCCAATCAAAACAAATTGCGGCGCGAGTTAAATGAGTAAACAAAATTGTTTCTCCTAATTTTACGGCGCATTGCACTTAACAAGCAAATCTATATTATAGCGGCTGAAGGGTGGAAACATTTAAGGCTTTTTATAGAATTTGTCGTCGACCGACCTAGACCAAAGTCACTGTGCTCACCTCAAAGAAATCAGAGTAAACTAAACAGCATTTTTAAGAATTTTTAGCAGCTGCCGGCGTTCATATAAAAGCTTTTGTGGATGTGATTGCTACCAGCTGATCACAAGCTTTAGATCCACAAAAAGGTCATACTGTATAAAGCGCTAGGGTGGTAAACAAAATATATTGTGGATCATTAATTAAACAATTTAATGTAACAATACCACATAAAAAAACTACAAAATATTAATAGTGCCAACAAAACTTATGCATACATGAACAACGCTTATTGCAAAACGATGAATTCAAGACAAAATAGGTGTTCGCTTTTTACCTGCATAGCAAAGTAACTTGACAAATCGTTTGCTATAAGTCAGGCTTGACATAACCCACTATATATAAAGATTGAAAAATGGTCTTGTTACAAAATGTACTCTCGACAACTATAATTATAAAATCAGCGCAAAAAAGAAATAATTACTAAATGAGATAACATCAGAAAATAACACTTTTTGCTTTAAAATCACTTACTAATCACCTTGCTCATCTGGTTCATAACAGCTGATTAGAACAGCAATTTACATAAAAAAATCATTAACAAAGTAGGGTACATCACCAACCGCATTTACTTTTGTCATCTCTCTTAGGGAAATTTAATTAAATGTGCCACCATTTATAAGCTACCCTTAACCCCAAAAGGGTCAACCAAAATTCCCGACGACAATTATGAATTACGACTTTCAATTCGAGAAAGGGCAGACACCAAGTGCTCTCAATTCAATTAAAATGTTTGCGAAGCACTTATGTATGCGGAAATGTGTTTTGTTGTCAAACAAAATGGAAACTCGATTTAGATGACCCGCTCGAGATACATGCAAATGCGAAAATAGAAAAGCTAAAAAGAAAAGCTGCGGCAATCGGAAAGTTTTTTTTTAGTACTTTAATTTTGAATACCAAGTAGTGTGTTGATTACTTTCGCCTGTTCAGCTGAATGACCAGGCCCTCGTAGGGTGCCAGTTCGATGGCCTCGGCCTTGAGTCGATCCCCCACCCTGTGCTGCGAATCCACGCCCACAACAAGGACGTTCAGCCGATTAGGCTGATCGATATAGTCGCTGATATCCACCACTTCCGTGCGGTTCTTCACGTTCACGATTGTCAGCAGAGTGTACTCGGCCTTCAGCTCTCTGCAGATGAAGAATAAATGTGAAAATAGGGTTAATAATTTATTAATTTATAACTAATAATTATTTAGTGTTTGATTACAACAATAAAAAGGAGACTAAGTCAAATATGCTGGCTTAACCGTGTAACCCGAAATAATTTCCAAATATTAACATATAAAATTATAATTTAAAACTAGGTTAAATTACAAAGTAGAACAGATAAAATAAATATTCTATTGTATTATTGAATACAACATTAAATCATAATAAATCATAATATTAAATACGATGCATTTTAGGATGCATGATTGGATGTTATAATATTTTAGTTGTTGTAAAAAATATTAAATTTAAAAAAATTCCTATTTACTTAGCTTTTTTTACCATTTTACCAGTGTAAACATCTATACATTCCGAAACATTTGATAAGTACTCACCGTTTGAAAGCGAAGACCCTGCGATTCACTACTTCAGCAACAAAGGTGCCATTCTTGAGAACCGGCAGCTTTCGTAGCTTCAGGAGGGACTGATAGATCTTGTAGTGACTTTGCCTTGCCTGCTGCTGGTTGCGAAGATTCAGCTCCTTGTAGTTGGGATTGACAGGCAGCCAAGTGCGATCGGCAGTGGAGAACCCAGCGTTGGGATCACTGCTCCATTGCATGGGTGTGCGTTCCGGGTCTCGAGAGACCCACTTGTAGTTGTCGATGCCAGATTCGCAGGCAGGCTGGTCCACAGTATCGCTCCAGCTAATGTCCCTGTAGTCCGTCATACCCAACTCTTCGCCCTGAAATGTAAGGTACAGCCAATAGAGCAAACCCCAAAAAGATAGGCTTCCATACATTGTAGGTAATGGCAATTCCGGGCAGTGTCATCAGCAGCATATTCATGGCGTCCACTGTCTTCTCACCAAATCGCGATGCCACTCGAGGATTGTCGTGATTTCCCATCACCCAGTTGGCCACATGACCATGTGGCATATAGATGAGCCACCTGGAGATGTAGAAGACAAAGTCCGCAGCTGTCGAGTTGGCATTCAGCTCGGTGATGAAGTCAAAGTTGAAGGGAAACTCTGGTCCCTGAACTCCATTCGCGTCTTCGTAGTACTCCATTAGCTGGGACACGGAGGCGTAGCCCTCGGTCATCATTATTCTCACGGGTCCCTCATGGCTGGCCGTGTAGTTGTCCAGCAGTTCCCGCCAGTGCTGAAGAAGACCGTAGTCCTCCGGTTGGTTCCTGGTATAGATATGCTCTAAATACGTCTCAGAGTTGGCATCATCGGTGGTGCCACTTGGCGGCTCGTCCCTCAATTGTGCATCCTCGTATATATAGATGATGGCATCGATGCGAAAGCCGGCGATTCCCTTGTTCAGCCAGAACAGCATTACATTGTCCATGGCCTGGACCACGGCGGGATTTCGGTAGTTGAGATCGGGCTGTCCGTAGGTGAACTGTCTCAGGTAGAACTGCTGCCGCTCCTCGTTCCACATCCAGGCGGATCCGGAGAAGACCGACAGCCAATTGTTGGGCGGCACTCGAGTGCCGTTCTCCAAGAGTACTCCATCCTCCCACACATAGAAATCCTCGTAGCCCGGCTCTCGAGCCACGGACTTGATGAACCAGGGATGCTTATTCGAGCTATGATTGGGCACAAAATCAAGGATGACCTTGACGCCCACCTCATTAGCCCTGGCTATCAACTCGTCAAAGTCCTCCAGGGTGCCATATTCCGGCTGAATGTTCGTATAGTTTGATATGTCGTAGCCAAAGTCCACCATGGGTGACTCGTAGATGGGACTTAGCCAGACGGACGTGATTCCAGTGTCCTTGAAGTACTGCAACCTGGAAGTAATACCGCGCAGATCGCCGATTCCATCGCCGTTGCTGTCCTGAAAGGATCTCGGATAGATCTGGTAGAAGACCTCGTGCTGCCACCAATTGTACTTGGCATCCTGCTCCTTGGACTGATGCTTGTGGGCCAGGATGGCCACTAGACACCCAGTTAACACGAAAGCTACTTTTACAACACCCATCGCGGTCAAACGAACAAGCTCGTTTTCTATTGTCATCCCAATTTGGCCTGCTTTTTATACTGTTACTGCCCCCCAACATTACAATTCCGGTTTTGTTTATTTAATTTGGCGATTTTATCGCTCCAATATTTGACCAATTGTTGTGACACTTTGAAGAGTGTTTAAATGGAATTAAGCATTTAAACTTGTTTGTTCCACAAGGCTCCTACACTGGCCAGTTGACCAAACAGAGGAACAATTTCTAACCTTCGAGTTGAAACAATGAAAAAGTAAAACTGACAGGAAGAAAGATCGGAAGTAAATCAATACTTGAATACAGCTCATTAAGTAAATTACATTGTGCATACAGTTCATTTGTAATGGAACTACACAATGCTTTAGGGCAATCATAAAATTAAAAAAAAAAAAACAGAAGAAACAATATTTGTATGCCCTTGAAATCTAGAAATACATACATTTTATTAATTTATATACTTAAAAAAATTATTGAATTATAGAAACTAAGCAGTTTCAAAACTTGTGATGGTTTGACTTAAAATTACATTACATTTTATTGGTCTATATACAATTAAAAATCGATTCAAATCTAGTTCTAGTTCTCAAGATTGACTTCAAACTAAAAAAAATGTAATTATATTGTACAGTATTAATGCGATTCAAATAACCCAAAAATTCACAAACGCCAATTAACTATACGGCGAATCAGCCGTACCCACTTCCCTCAGCCAATCCCCTGCAGACTTACACCAGGCTGAATCTGGCAGCTTAATTAAACATTTTACCAGCCACAAAGGTCTGCCATTGTTTATAGATGCTACGGGTGCGAGTGGGATGGGCTCCTGGCTGTCTACAAGTGTATTAGAAATTCGCGCACAAATGTGTGCAGAAATCTTCACTTATGTTATAGCCCAGCAGACTCGGCATAATTTAGCCGCTTTCGCCACGACATGAAAAGGGTTTGACAGGGGGCGTGGCTGCTCGCATTGAGATTCCTTTGCCGGCGAAATCAAAGCGAAGAAAAATCGCTGTAATTTGGAGGCCGCACCCCCGGCGAAAAGGGCGGGATGAAAGTGAAAAGTTAAGGCGAAATGTTTTAGGGCATCCGCATCCACTTTCGGAAGCTTCGGCTAATCCGCCGCCTGTCTCCCCAAACTGGGCCAGCTCTCACTCACCTGTCTCACCTGTCTGTGGGCTCCTTGCAGGACAACGGGGACTGCCTTTCACGTCGCGACGCTGATTGAATTGCCTTCGCGCGGCTAAGGGACGAGATTCAGAGGCGGCAGAAGCCCTTTGTGTTAAAACATTCTGAGAGGCGGGAATTCTTTTTTTTTTTAAAGCACTTTTCAATTTGGCTTTTGGGGCTCCCCCAAGCTCGAATAAATAAAAACACGGCCTACATTTTTTATTATGTAAATATTTAATCATATCAGGAAATTTCGGGTGCTTCGACAGCTTGCCATATTCAAAATCGGCTCTCACTCATCCGGTGGGCTCAGATATTTAAGAATTTAGCACACGCGCCTAAACATATGCTTCGGTTTTCCGTCAGTCGCATTTTCCTCTTTTCCGTCCAATCCATTTTTTATATCTTTGACAACCCTTAAGCATCAACAAATTTGAATTGGGCGGGTTCTCTCTTTGCTTTTTATTTTGGGGATGGGGCTGCTATTTAATGTTGTCAATACGTTTACGCTTATCAAATACTTGTTATCACAAATCGATTACAACGACAGCGGCAGAAGCGATTCGGGTTTGTTGTCGTCCGTAGAGATTGTCGTTGTCATAAGTATATTCCACATGTAAATTTCCGCATATCTATCCCTGTGTACTTGCCTGTTTTTCGATTGCAGCCCATCCAACCTTTACTATCTGCTGTTATTGTTATGGCTGTGGTCGGGGAAAACCTCTTTTGACGGAATATTATCATATTATCTATTTACGATTCTGTTAGGTAACTTTCAGTCAAGACACTGACTGATAAAACACTCTCGGTATTGGCTCACTTTTGTAGACAATTGGTATTTGGAAAAAGAGCCAAAAGTAGTATAGAAAATAACTTAAAAATGTTATCAGCAAATTGTTCGTTTTATTTTTTATTTTTGTGGCTATTTTTGCACAAGGAAGTTAACAATGAAATACATTTTTATAACAATTGTGACTGTTTAAAATCTCTCTAAGTAACAAAGTAAATACCAAATGAAATGTAAAAACGAATCGGAAACGAAACTATTTTTAGCATAGTCCATAACAAAAAAATGTAATAGAAACAAAATAATGTTTAAAAACAATTAATGTTTATAATTTTTACATATCTATTACAAACTACTAACTTGAATGTACACAATTTAAGCCAGCTTATTGATTACTAGTTAGATAAGTTAGCAACAAAAAAAATAAGTGAGAAACATTGAAAAACAAAATTTAAAATTTTAAAATTTCAAACAAGTTGTAATAGTATATAATTGTTGTATGGGTACAATTTTAAAATCTTAGTATTAAGACAAACATGATTAGTTTTTTTTATTTCGCAAACGTATTATTGTGATTCATCTTGTTTGTCTCATGAGTTTTATAATCTCTAATTTTGGAGGAGTCTTCTCACCCCGCCTGAGATAAAACCCATTTACTGCCGTGATTCAACCCGTTCGTTATTATCTTTTTAATAACGTTCTGGCTAACCAAATTCCGGGCTGCAGCTGTCAGCTTCCTGTCATAATCCTGTCATCCCATAATTGTGGCCATTACCTTTATTAGACTTGCTGTGGGTCTTGTTATTACTTGGCCTATTGTATTGGTCCGGTGGAGTGGGTGGCTTGTTTGCACCCAATTTCGATGTTTGTGTTGCACGTATTGGGCTTCAATTAGTCAGGCCCTTGTGCAGAGTTAATAAATCACATCTCAGCCATCAGAAATCCCCCAGGAAACCGAATCGCTGCTGGCGAACAATTAATTATGCATAAATTTGATTGATGTGCGTGAGGGGACTGTTAAAACGGTGCTAAAACCGCCTTCGAGAAACAGTTCCAGCCAAAGTGTCAATGACAACAAGCTCTGCCTCAAAAGCCGCCAATTGATTTACTGAGGTGATGACGCACTCGAAGTAGCTTTTAATTAGCATTGAATGGCGTTATTTGCATATAATACAGTCCGATGCGCCTCGTCGAGAATCAGATTTAAAATGGGAATGAAAAGCTTTTATATTTAATTACGACTTAGATAATACCTTTGAAATTGAACAAGTAAACCAAAATAAATTCATAAATATTTAAATTATTGTACTTGAGCAACAATTCTGCTGTCTTAAAACCATATGAACCTCAAATATATACATAAAAGAATATTTAAGAATTCTTTGCTACTTTAGTTTGCAAACAATTGTTTAGTAAACTAAACAATAAAATAAGATTTATTTAACTTGCTGTCACTTAAACACAACAACTTGGAATCTCTAGTTTTGACAAGTGTGCATTGCAAATGTGTTTTAAGCAACCAGAAGTCGGCGATTTAACTAATTAAACTTTTTTTATATATCCGTTTGAGTCAGCAAAAATGATTAACTCAAAAATAGGGATTAGCTTGACAAGATCCCAGCCGGCGGATGTTTAGATTTCGTCCGAGCCTCTTGTATTCCCGCTGCGTGCACTCAAAAAAGCATCGGTTTTTGTAGGTTACGCCATTGGTGCCGCACACCTCCGCCTTCAAAAGGTTGCAGGGACAGTAGCTGGCCTCCGTGGATGCCCCAAAAAGTATAAGCGAAAGGCCCAACAAAGCCACCAAAGCCTGGCACTGCATACTTGTTCTGTGGAAGTCCTTATTAAATCAGAAATATGAGGAACTCGTTGTCCTATTGCAGCAGGTGTTTAGCTAAGACTGAGTTTTGTTTAAATTTATTTGGACTATCTCAGCTATAAAGTAATTACTGATAACAGAATAAAAACAAAGATTTTATGTCTGATAAGAGTAAATAACACTTGATAGTAATTTATTAATTTAAAATATTATCTCACAGCACTCATTTGAATTGGAGAAGACTGCTGACTCACTGATACTCGTATGAAAAATATGCTTGATTAGTATCCAAAATCGACAAATTTCTATAAATTGCATGGCCCATCGCTTCGGATGTTTAGGATCCTTCCAAGCTTCTTGTAATCCCGCTGCGTGCACTCGAACTCACAGCGATTCTTGAAGGTGACGCCATTGGAGCCGCACACCTCCGACCCCTTGGTTTTGAGGTCACAGGGACAATAGCTGCCCTCCGAGGATCCCGCAAAGAGGGTGACCAAAATGGTCATGAGGACCACCAAAGCCAGGCACTTCATTTCTGCTCCGTGGTTGTGTTGAACGAATGAGATTTATGGGGGTACACTACACTTCGTTGCGAGTGTTCAACTGAGACTGAATCGTCGTTTCTTCTGAGTTTGTGTATAAGATGGTGCCTTTGTGTGTGCGTAAGTTTTGCTAATTAGCCAAACAAGCTGCTGATTATTTTGCACTGCTACCGCTCCCCTTCCTCTTCTCTCACTTTTCTCACTTCTCTCACTTTGGCTGCGTGTGGGTCTCGTTTGCATGTGTCTGGCGGGCCTCCAGTAATTTACACGGCTGGCAGTTGAGGGCCCGTGAAGTCGCTATGGCAAAGAGCAAGAGCATGAGACTCACAAATATACCTCGCATGTCGACAGTTACTACACAACTGGATAAGACTTAGTCAAATTTCCCCAGGGTCTGAGCAGCTTAACTAATTGAAATTGAAATTGAATGGCAATTGCAATTGCAATTGAATAGAACCAGCGGCGTCGTGTAAATTGCCTGACAAAAAGAGTGTCGTTTCATTAATTACTGGGTCTCATAGATAAAGCGGAGTAATGTGTATGTAAATGTTTTGCAGAGAGGGGAAATTTCCACCTGATCGCCGATAGGAAGGCCGAGAGAAAAGAGGGAAAAGCTCTTAAGCAAAGTGAGTAAATTATAGCTTTTCGTAGAGCTTTTTTTTCACTTAACTATAAATAACTGCGTGTTTGGTACCGCGATAAGCTAAGTAAGTAATTTAATTGACAGTGGCTGAGACCCATAAATTATTCAAATAATTTGCAATGCATATATTTAGCAAGGTTAATTCTAGGAACTAGGTTCGGCTAATTGATCTCGTATTTCTACTGCAAACTACCACTCATAACACTATAAACACTTCTCTACTCACAACTCCAAAGCACGACGATAAGTGATAAGATAAGCGAGCAAATCGAAGCCAAAGCTCCATTGTCTAAAAAAGAAGTCGAGCAGCAGTATCGAATCAGTCTAGCAAGTGGATTAACCTCGTCAGCATGAAATTCCTAAGCATTCTTCTGGCCCTGTGCCTGTTCCTGGCCCTCGCCGTGTCGCCAATTCGCAGTGATGACGATGTCGCGGAAAAGGAATTCTGTCCCTGCCCCAGGAACTTCGATCCCGTTTGTGGCAGCGACCTAAACACATACCCCAATCGCTGCGAATTCGATTGCAAGCGCCGAAAAGTCGAACGCCAGGGACGCAGCATGGGCATACTTAGATCCGGAAACTGCTAGTCCAAAATTCCCGATTGCAACAAACTAAAGAGACATCCAGAAATATATAAAATCAAATAGAATATGTGCCTTGTATTAATCATCAATGTGGAATATAAAGAAATAAATCAGCTTATCAGCCAGAGCATTTGGCATTGCAATTGATAGCGTTTCAACGCCTTATCACAAATACGAATCGTATATGGCACAGCACTGGGAGAAACTTATACCTATTTTCGAGGGCAGCAGCGATTTGCGAATCTGATAGTATCGAGTGGTTGGTTTAAGTGGTTGGTGGTTGAAGATACCCAAGAATGCCATGCACGCATTGAAAATGTATAATTTATGAGTCATACGTTAAAGTTGTGTTTGACTTTTTAACATAGTTTCTTTCACAGTGTTTTGCATAAGGTAAACAATATTTTAAAGTGCTGTAAGCCTTTTTTACTACTCGGTAAATACGATTTTAATATTGAATTATAATATATAAATTATGAGTCATGGCGAATAGTTGATAATATTTAATATTTTTTGATAAGTTGCTTAGCCTGCTTAGTAAAAATTTATATTTTTACTGCAGTTACTTTAAATTGCAAAACCAGAAGACCCCAATTTAATTTCGTCTCCCTGGCGCGACTTTTTATTATTATTGTTGCCTTATTTGTTTTTGCTAAAGTTATGGCAACATTTGTTTAAATAGAATCCAAGCTAACAAGAAAAGACGTTAAACAATTGGGTCAATAACATAAACCTTAAAGAATAAACATAGAAATCGAGTTCCTCAAGGAAAGTTATTTATTTTTTATAATTTTTGATGTTAGTTAAAGCATTGTTTTACCACTTGAAAAAGCTAAAGTAAATAAACAAATTTGAAGTTTTACAGAAGCTTAGGAATGGAAAAGAAATAGCTGAAAACAATCCGAAAATATTAAATAACCTGTACTTGTTAAAGAAGACCTGTACCCTTTTAGACCCTTATTTGTAGATGCATAAATGTTTTCCAAGTTGTATATAAGTACACTAAAAGCTGAGCCCTAGCTAGAATATTATAATGTGTTAACACATTTTTTCACAATCGCCACGTATTTATTTCTCACTTTTCATCATACATGTAAATCGGTTACATATTCCGCTTACTAGCACTTTCCTTTCTTAGCGACCGTAATTACACGTCCTAGGACTTTAGCTATGCATTCCAAGACGCACTGGTTGCTGTAGGTAATGGAGTTCGATCCGCAGACAGGATCATAGATGCGAGGACATGGGCAATAGGCGGCGGTCAGGGTCAAAAGAGCGAACAGGCAGAGTGCGATCAGAGCTAGGCAACGCATGCTTTAGTTTTAGACTGGCTGGGCAAGACTGGAGCTTTTACAAGCGGTCGGCACTCATTTATAGATAATAGGCCAAGCCAGAACCCTTCGCAAGCCACAGTTTGGCGGAAAACTACAGATTTGCAACGTTTAATCGTAATTTCAAACCTATTATAAATAAAACGTGACTTTTTACACCGTCTTACGAATTAACGCCTAGTTAGCGCTTTGTTTTATTGACAACTTGTCATAATAAATGAAATAAAAAGCAAATATTTAACATATGCATTGCCACTTACAGATTATTATAAATTACACAATTTACAAATATTCCTGTCCGTTTAGGGCTTACGTTTTTTTGAGCACGTGGCGTATACGCAATATTCAAAATAAGCGAATAAAACTGAGTTCTTTCTATACATAAATAAACATTTATTATGCCCCTGGTTTGCTGGTAGCGCGCAGCTGTTGACCTTGGCAACGTGCGCAATAAAGAAACGATATTAGCTTGGCCTAATAAAATCCTTTCAAGGCACAAAAGCAATTTCAATCTAATCTTGTAGTGCCAAAGGAGGCGGCTAAGCCTGGCCAAATAAAAGAAGCGGATAATACAAGATGAAGCAGAAAAAGCTTAAGCGCAAGAAAAATGGTTGCGGATTCGTCTTTATCTTTGGAAATACATATTTTATTTGTTATTTTGAGACGTTTCTTATACATTTAATTTAAGATTCAAGCTTAAAAATTGCTGGAAATCTATAGTTATTTTTAGTGGTAAATTCATTTGATTGACTTTTATTGCTTTAATTGTTTAAAAGAAATTGAGAAAAGAAATTAAAAGAAATAGGTTCAGAAGAGACAAACTTATTAAAGTTAAGAAAAACACTGCAAGTTTTTAATCTCAATAGTTCTTACCATGTTTCAGCTTATCAGGCGTGCAATTTCAAGTCTCCTCAAAAATATATACCTTCTGTTGAGAACTTAATACCTAAATTCTAAAAAACTAAATAAATAAATAATTATAAGTTAATTTTTTTTTTTAATAAAATTCTTATAAATTACGAATCTGTATCTTATGAAACAGCTTTCCCTTAAAATTAAAACGATTCTTAAAGTCGAAGATACGCATTTTCAATAACCAAAATCCGCAAAAACTATTTCCTACCCTTCTGCCAAAGACGCAAACAAAAAACACAATACAAATACACTTTAGCTAAGCCCAACAGCATTAGAATAATGGGAATATGCAGGAAGCGAAAGACAACAAAAAGATTTAGGGCTCACATAGATGTGTACACAAGCAGAGATAGTTTGAATACTGATTGCCATGTAGAGACCTGTTGGAGCATTTTATGTAGTTGCCAAAATACAAAGAATGGGGCTCTTTAAATATATTATTTTTTTGACTTTTAAACAAAAATTAATTTCTTATGTACATATGAAATATTTAGAACTTCCCAATTTAATCGCAGAAATTGCCATTAAAATTAAAATTCATTAAATTTTTTTAATTTGGGAGGTCTAAATATATTTGAATAATTTGTACAGGGATAACATTACCGAGAAATCCTTGATACTAAGCCTGTTTTGCATTACTTTTGCAGTTGCCAGCACGCCGGAGAGTTTGCCCAGCAAGCGGGACGAGGCCAGTGTTGGGGCGGGCACCACCGGCAGCAGTGGTGCGGCATCGAACAGCAGTGGTGCAGCGAGCGGTGCGGCGAGTGGATCAGCTGGAGCAGCAATTGGATCTGGAACTGGAGCCGGAACCGGAGCCGGAGGCGCAGGTGGCGTTAGTACGCCAGCCCAGGAAGCCGTCAGTCCCACAGTCTCTGAGCTCAGTGGCAGCGGCTCAAATGCGACAATAAATGGTCAAGTGGCAAGTAAGTAACGTGCAGCTCATGGCATTATGTACCCGACCACCCCCGCTGTTGTGTGTGTGTGTGCTTTACCCTGTTTTTGCATATTTCATCATCTGATTTCGCATTATAATTTCCATTTTGAACAGAGGACAGGAAACCGCACCGCCTGCATAATCCATGCTGCACCAGCTGCGGAGATTGCGGTGGCTAAGTCGGTTTGACATAGCTCGGAAATTGCAGGAATTTAGATAGGAGAGGACTTTGTGGACAGTTGTGGTTAAGAACTGAATTGGCTCATTGAAATCGCAATGCACCGCAGTGACCCTAATTAGACTTGTACAGTTCATTGTTCGGTTTTTGTGGCATTGTGAAACCTATTTAAATTAGCAAATTCTCAATTAAACTAATAAATATAATGGCATGACAAATTGATTTACAAAAAAGCTATTTAAATTAGCCAAGGCTATTTAAATCAATTTAAGCTAAATATTTAGTGAATTTTAGTCAAATGGAATGAGTTTTTAACAACCACTAAAATTAATTATCATTCCATAATTAAATTACACAGGATGTATATTAAAATATTTCAGTGCAAAAAGTTTAGAAGTTTGGTAAAACATGAAAGGCCATAATGAACTCCGATTCGATTCTTGGATATTAGCAGAAAGTTCACGACAACATATATTTATTTCTGCATTTGATTTCCAAATAAGATTCCAATATCTAACTGATATCAAACTAAATTGTCGAGTAGACAACTATCTTAGCTTTTCAAAAAAGATTGATGGGCGACCATCGATCATGTTACGCACGTTTATTTAATTGCCGGCCATTTTCACCCACCGCTCACATGGGTCAAATCAAGCGGATTTGGTCTTAGCCGTAAGCTGATGCCAGGTGGGCCAGCAGAGCTTTTTTCTCCGGTTTCGCCTACATTGTGGGGTAAAATGAGGCGTTGAAAGTCATTAAGGATGTGAAGAGTCTCCAGTAAAAGGAACATAAAACATTTCATCCCAAAACTCGAGTCGATAAAGTGCCCTCGTATCTAGCAGTTAAGCGAAGGAATCTCGGGTGTAACATAAATTTAAGTGCAGCATAAAGCGGATTTTGTGACTGCCACATCACCTTGCTGAGGAGGTGCTTGCACTGTCAAAATAAATGGAATGCAGTTAAGATTCTCGCAGCCAAGACGAAGACACTCTGTGGCGGTGGCAAGTTTGGGGAATTCGCAGATAGATTGCTCCGTGCTCCCTCTTCTCGGCACTTGACAAACACCCAAACAGTTGAATCCTTTGCACTTTTTCGACACGCCCGGGATGAAAACTTGGGGCCAACTGAGGATGATGCCACTCAGCCAACTCGATGCTGTGGGGCCACAAGGAGATGCCTCGCAGGAGGAACTTCTTCAAGGGCTTTTGTTTGCTGCTCGTTAAGCATTTTCCCCTCACTTGGGGTTAAGCTAAGCAAATAATTCTATGCTACAATGGTCCTAAATGATGGGTATAAATTATTGATTTCTTGTCGTCTGTATCAAACCATTTCTGAAGAAAGTGAACAGTGGAACAAAAATGGAAGGGAGATGTTTATTTTGAATCAATGCATATCGTGGACTATAATCAGTACACTATATTCCTTTAAAACAAACTTGATACCCGAAAAATTTGGTTTATTTGAATATTAACCAAACATTATATTATTTATAAATTTTGTATTTTTATTAATGTAGCCTAAACAACAAATTAATTACATTCTTTATCAGTACTTTAAAAAATAAATTTAAAACATGTACTTAAAATTTTAGATCATTGGGTTTTATTTTATTGCATGAAACATAATAATTTTTAATTTGCCATTATTCATTTAAAAATGTTAATTTTTATAAAAAATGTTGATTTGTATTTTAAAGAGTCATTAAATCATTTTCACTCTCAATTTAAAATCATTCTTTTATTTTGGTATTATTAAATGTATTTCTGTGCCCACTATGTTCCTTGCATCTGAACCCTTTCCCTTGTGGCCTTTGTGTGCTTCGTTAGATCCCAGTAGGGCCTCAATCAATGTGTCAACAGTGAGAGTGATATAACTAAATAAGCAGCCGGCAACTAAATCAGTTTCTTCCTTCCCAGGACACGGCTCACTGACGATTATCCGACGCACGAACAGCCGGAACTTTACGCAAATCGACGCCCAGTTGGCATCGCCCTCAGCCACCGCCTCCAGCTGCACAGTCCCAGGGATTGGCTTCGCCCAGACGCCGCTTAGTGAGCCACTCGCGGAGCGCCTGAGCTTCCGTTCCGGCAGCAACGGATCCGCGTCCGCCGGCGACAGCCGCTCAAGCAATCAGGGCCCCAGTTCCGGACCAACCGCCACCGCCGCAGCCGCCGTCAAAATGCAGCCGTCATCGCCGAACGCCACCAACTATTTGGCCGACAACATTCAGTTCTCGTCGGTCAACCTGTCGCAGACCGAAATGGTCGGTGGTCGCGATTCGAACGACTACACGGCCGCCCACTCGATCAACGTCGCCGGCAACAATTCGTTCTTGCGCGGGGACACCGATATTCCGCAGGAGTCGGGACACTCCTTCGAATCGCCCTCGACTATCTCGTTCGCCGCCGGGCAATGGGACACGGAGAGTTTGCCGCCAGTCGACACGCCAGATGCCCTTAACAAAGCGGCCGGGAGGTGAGTTACCCATTACCATACTATATTAAAAATCATATATTTAGACACTGGTAAAAGTGTATTACAAGTTCAGTCAAAAGTTTGCAACGCAGTGAAGGATAAATTTCAGGCCCTATAAAGTATGTTCTTCATCAGCACCACCAGCATTCGACTGCCTGTTTCTGCACAGAAATAACAAATTTAAATAAAACAATACTCGTTTCGATGAAACTCCGTATCAAATCAGTCTTAATGCTTGGCGTATTACTTTGATTTGGTCGATTGCCATAGAGAAAGCGAAATGTTACCGTTTTTATACCCATTAGTTGTAGATTTATCGTTGAAAGTATGTAAAGGGCAGAAGAAAGAGGTTCCCACATAACAAAAAAAATATATATACATATTATTGCAGCGCAAGTTTATTTCAAAATGTGGCAAAAGTGGAAGAGGTCTTTTGCAAGCTTTATATGTTCTTATTCGGTGAATACCTATCGACTCATACAAAAATCTTTTAAATCAAACAAGATTATTTTAGAACTTATTAGCACAA